AGGGGTATTTTTCATGAAAAATATGCCTAGCAAATTGTCAGCACCCCTCTCTTAGGTGACCACACAAAAAAAAAATTGTATACCACAAGCAGGAAAGGGGTCCCATTGGTGTTATGTCTGTGCGAAGCAAGCACGAAACTGGTCACTTTTATGACCAGGTTCATGTTTCCTAAGTAGGAAAGTGGTCCCATGTCCGTGCCTGCCCTGCCTAACTACAAGCCGCACAGTGGAGTCACAGATCAGCAATGTCTATGCAGCCTTGGAGCCTTATACTTCACGATGTCCGCCCATTTTGGTCATTTATTAACTTCATTTGTTTCACATTTTATCTTTGTGCTCGTTGGCGTCCACTGTCCACTGTAGAATGTCACTGTGGATGAAGAGATATTTCCCCTACCGCCTACACCCGAAGAAAATCCTGTCATTATCGCTGCATCCAGACTGAAATTTGCCCCAAATACAGCTATAATGACTGGGTGTTCTATGCGGGCGAAGAAGGTAGGCAACATAGGTACAGTCAGTGCCTGTGTGCCACAAAGATCCATTCCAGCAACTCTCTCTCTCTCTCTCTCTCTCTCTCTCTCTCTCCTGTCTCTTATACACATCTAGATGTGTATAAGAGACAGGAGGTCCGGATTATGTCCGGAGAGGTGCGGACGTGCGTCCGGCCAGACGGTCCGGTAGGTCCGGAGTCCGGGTCCGGCGCTACCATGGTAAAATACTAAAATCTTTTTGAAGTTTTTTCTTTTTCTTTTTGTCAGTGCCGGGATGCACGTCAGGATCTTTGTCTTTTCTATGATATAAAGTAATCTGGTCAAGTCTCAAGACAAGGGCCAGAATGACCCACAAGTTCTTTTTTTTTTCTTTCCTGTACAAGTTCTTGATAAGCCTAGAAATTGCTTGTTTAAAAAAAAAAAAAATGTTGTTTTTCAAACTAGGCTACCAGCCGGGCCACCCAGGCCACCTTATTTGCCCGGGGGCCCGGTCGTTCAAGGGCGAAAGGAGGTCCATGCAAAAAAAAAAAGAAAAAGAAAATCCAAAAGTCTTGAACAAAAAGAGCAGAGAAATAAACTGAACAAGTTTTTTTTTTTTTTTTTTTTTTTGCAAAAAGGGGCAGCCAGTGTCGGATGATCCAGGCACTCCGGCAAGGTTCATACGACGGCTGCGTTGAAATATACAAGCTGGAAAACATGTCTGGCGTCCCTTACATCGTAAAAAGATTGCAAAATAGAGTCAAATAGACTGTTTCCTGCGCTGTAACCGTGGCGCCCGCAGGAGGCTACAATCGTAATATGCAACAAGCAAAGTAATCATATGTACAATCCTACCACTAAACGGAAGCGAAAAAATCCTACTAAGCGGGCTTACATCAGACGACACCCCCATCAAAGCCGTACGCATCAGATGACACCGCAGTCTCTTGGGCGCAGGCAAATACACAGCGAATACAAACAGTGGTTGGACAACCAAGACTGTTCGCTGTATGCGGACTACGAATACTTCACAAAAAAAAAGGGGAGAAACGAATGTCCGGCCATCCATCCATCCGCTGCGACGCTAATCGTCAACACACCCGGAAAATGATATGCCAGCACGAGTGGAAAAACTCCAGTGCTTTTTGCGGAAAACCCCTTATGTTGGACTTTGAAGTTTGAAGGTCCATTCTGCAAGGATTGTTTGTTTGGTGTTGTATTTTACCTCCCACCCTCACCATGGGCGGGGTGAGGCGCCCGTGCCGGCGAGTCGCAGAGTTCCTCAAGGTCCACAAGGTCCAAAGTATACGCCGCGCAGCACCTCTTCTGCTCGGGCCAAAGTTGACGGCACAGTGCCTCTCCTGGCCGCGGAGACCTGAGCAAGACAAAGTCGTCCTGGCCGTGGACTCGAGCAAGACAAAGTGGTCCTGACCGCGGACCCGAGCAAGAGAAAGTCATCAGTCCACCGAACCATAGGCCGCGGAACCGGCACATTCGCACGCCACCATGCCCAAAAAAGCTTGGGGAGTCCTTTGGGACATCCGTTAAAATTGGAACGATACAGAGAAGATTAGCATGGCCCCTGCGCAAGGATGACACGCATAATTCGAGAAATGCTCCAATAAAAAAAGCTGGGAGAGGTCACAATGCAGGCACGAGCGTTGTGAAAAAATCGGAAAATCCGCAATGCGACAATCCTGACAAATCTGACAGACTGGAGTTGCCTTGGATGTTAAAAATGTTTTTTGCACACCACAACGCGGTTGGAACCCCGATTGATGAGTTAATAGCCACAGATAGCTTGCTCGGTTGACAACAGACGAGTCCATCAACAACTTCCAATGACGAGAAAAAGCCAGCACCAGGTGAGGAGCCGAATCCCCAATCCAGCCGGTAGCCATCCATCGGTTGGCCACCACCTTCCAATTGATGTCAACAGACGGGCAGGAAAGTCGATATTGAACCACCTTGTCCAGTACCTACCGGTCGGGGAGGCCGTCAACGCGGAACCCGAATCGGCCTGCCCCTCCGGTCCAAAATCATTCGACGCCGGAGGGGTTCGAAAAATGCGCAACGTACTGGTTGTTTAACCCAGCTTAGTGGAATATTGCGATATAGCGGGGTTATCAACTTTCTTGCCCGTCTGTGGACATCAATTGGATATAAGCTGGCTTAGCTGGGTTGTCAATTTTCTTCAAGTTGCCGGCGTAGCGGGGCCCACCCACTCCCACTCGTCCGTGTGGCACAGGTGCTTCCGGAGTCAGTCCCTAGTAGGATCAACAGGCAAGAGTGAAATGGGGGTGTCCTTGACTACCCTGTTTGTGTCCTTGATTACCCTGATTCTCCTGATTATGCCCACCCAGGCAAACATGCCCCAGCGAGTAGAGCATCGAGAAACAAAGAAAGAACCTCTACACTTATTGCATATAAACTCAAACAAGGATCAGGAGGTGGGCAAAAAGAAAAGCTGTAGGATTACCCACAGTGCATTGCATCCAGTGTATGGTATGCAACCCTGGACTGAGTAGAAAACAAATGCAGGAATCTTGTCTGAGAACTTGTCCACGTTCAAACCTGTCCAATTGTGAAGCCCACAGTGCATTGCATGCACACTGCGGCCCAGTAAGGGTGTCAAAACATCACGAAACTCGACATATGTCAGGAGATTTTCGACATTCCCTCTTTCGACAGAAAACCCCTCTTCGCCACACAGCATGTAGAAGGGAAGAACTCACAAGTCTAGGAGAGGCGGTTAACGGAGACCCAAAATTTCAGCGTTTTTTGAATGCTATTTATAAGAAAACCAGAAGGTCTTTTTAACAAAAAATTGCATCATTCCATAGAGTGCACGTGTGAAGTCTAGTTGTATAGTTCCATGTTCTAGCGGAATATTCATTCTCGGTTTGCACGTTTGGAGAGTAGAGGAGCGAGGCCTTATCTCATGTCTCTAGTTGTGAATTGAAGGAGACTGGGAAGGTTATATACATGTGAGATATCCCAGAGGATAGGACCAACTGGCCTATCTCAGTTGGTAGACCACTGAACTGTTGAAATACGGACCAGGTGCAGAGTTCGAACTCCACTGGAAGCAGATGAATCAAATACTGCATTTTATATATATATATATTTTTATATATATTTTTTAATTTGGACCAGTTCTCAATTTATGTGTGTCGTCCTTGCGCAGGGGCCATGCGCTCTCCCAGAGGACCCCAAGTCCGGGCTCATTTCGTTTTTTGCGAGTTGGCTGTCAAAAAGGGGGGAGGGGGGGGTATAAATTGGTTTTAAAGGGGCTAAAGGGGTCTAAAGGGTGGGTGGGGGGGTGCCTTTGTGTGATTCTGTTATTTTCTTTTTTATCTCCGATTCTGTGAGGAATTATAATGCAACCCTCAGCCAAAAGTCGTTTGTATTGCAATTCTACACAACATTTTTTTTTTTCCGGATTTTTTGTTTTTTTTTTTGCTCTGAGGCTGTCTGGAACGCTGCCCGGGGGTCATGCCCGGCCGGGTACCCCGGGCGTGTACCCGGACAGAAGTTGGGTGTCCGGGCGCCCGAAAAAGCAGCCTAGAAACGAAGTGAGAACAGTAGCTAGAGAATCGAGAGGCAAACAGATGAATAGAATAAAATATTTCTGAATTAACTACGGCTGGTCAGTCGAATTGTTGAATATTCAATATTATAAATAAATATCTACAGGTTGTTGCCCTTGTAAGGAAAAAAAAAAAAAAAAAAAAAAAAAAGGGTTGGGTATTGGTATGACCTCCCTAGCAAGTTGGCGACAGGTTGATGCTCTTTTTTTTATTTATAATTTATTTAATTATTGTTATTATTTAAATTTATTTTCTTTTTTTTTCTTTTTTTTGCAGATGTTTTTCTTTGTGCAGTGTTACGGCGAACACAAACACATGCACAAACAAAAAATATCAAAGACAACTCGCAGTGTGGTGTTTCAGCGAGATAGGGATCAAACAAGCGCTGCTGCTATCACCAAAAAAAAAAAAGAAAAAAAAAGAAAAAAAGAAAAGAGAGGTGTTTGGGTATTTGTCTGTCTATGCCCCCCTGGGGTGGCTGCGGCTTAAACCACCA